TCTATAAATCTTTATAGGCTGTAAATCAGTATGTTAAAAAGGTAAGCTTTTCTGAGCTTGGCACAGTATCTTTTTAAGCCTAATTGAAACTTTTGAAAGACTACCAAGAAAACCCTGCCTACTTTTGTATTTTAGAATTAACCCAGTGAACAAGAGTTCGTTGAGCCCCTGCAGTATGCCTTATCTCTGTTTCATTGTACTGATTTCTACATGGTGGGGTACATCCCTGTATCATTCAAGATTCACAGGTGCTGCATCTGTGTGAAGCCTCACAACCCTACTAGAAGGTTTGGCCATCTCTCCGCTGCTCCCACATCATCCTGTTACATTATTTAATATGGAGTTATTTCCATCAATTATAGATCTTACCCCTAACCTATGAATGCTGCAGGGGAACAAAATTGCCTATTTTGATCTAGTTCATCTTTTGGTCCACAATACCAAACACAGTGTCTGGTGAAGAGTAGAAATTAAATGTTTGAATATTGGGGAAATATTAAATGCTATAAAAATAATTGAGTATTTCTTCAAACTCAGAAATTGAGAGGTTGAATTGAAATATAAAAGAAATGTTGCTATTTTAGGCAAAAAATAAGGGGAAAGAGAATGAGGAGAAGGAGGAGCATCTAGTACAGTAATTCTAAGTGAGGGTTGCTGTGGTTAGCAAATGAAAGTTCAGGTCTCCCAGTTAAATTTGAATTTCACATAAAGGAATATATTTTTAGTATAAGTAGGTTCCAATATTGCACAGTATATACTTATATTAAAACATTTTTGTTTATCTTCAATTTAAATCGAACTGATATCCTTTACTGACTATTCTAATTTTTTTTTGAATCTGTAACTTTTTTGACTGCTATATCTCTTTAAAATGCAAATGAGAGCTCTGAACACTCCTTTGTAAATATTTCTATACACAGAGATGTGCATGCTATTTCAGGTAGTTGATGTTAGTAATTTAATTCTTAACACTGGATGCATTGGAAAAGGAATAATTTTTGGAGGCTACAAGGCGAAGAGAAGTGGAAATCATACAGGGTGCGGTAAAAGTAGTTTTATATCGGAGAAACTAAGATGGCGGCATAGGTAAACACCGGGAAATTGCCGCCTCACACAACAATTGAAAATTACCGCAAAGGACAGAGCAAACATCATCCAGAACAACAGGAAGGCTGGCTGAGTGTAAATTCTACAACTAGAAGGAAAGAAAAGCACGCTAAGAGCCAGAGGCGCTGCGGAGGTGAAGTGCAGAGGTACAAGTGCAGAGGTACGGCCGGCTCGCGTGCGCGAGTAAAGGGGGTGGCACCTGAGGACGCGGCTGTCTTTTTGAATCACAAGCTCCCAACTGCTCTGAACTCCGGTTCCGGGAAGTCTCTGGGGACCCAGGACTCATATGGGGAGAAGCTGGTCTGTCCGGCAGCGGGCGAACTTGAGGGCGGCTTTCCCTCAGAGGTGCTTGCATCAATTAGCGGGTCACTGAGACCCGCGACTCCGGGCGGAGAATCAGCCATAGCTACTTTCTCCGCCCTTTGACTCCCTGAGACCCCGCCCCACCCAGGCTGCGGCAGAGGCTTTTGCATGTGAATGTACCTAACTGCAGCCGAGCCAGGCAGACCCGGAACTTCCAAGAGAAGGCCCAAGGCCCTGCAGCGGCTTACATTGCTTCACAGCTGAGCCTCTTCGTGGCTCCTGCTGTGTGGCCCCAGGCAGAGGCTGAATTAGCATCTCCTTAGATCCAGGAGCCACTGTACCCAGTGGTCAGAGGGGGACCATCCAGACTGCAACTCCTCAGATCCATAAGGGACACACTCAGGGAGCAGACTCAGTGAGCACCAAAGCCCCACTGAAGCAAGTCTTGCCCCAGAAGGGTGTCTTCAGCACAGAAGTTCTCCCACTTTAGACACAGCTGATTCTCACAGCCAATTGGCCTGGAGGTCAATTCCTCCCAGTGATTCTACAACAACCAAGGCACCAAGAGTGCACCAAGAGTGTCCACCCCAGGTAACTGGGGAGGCTGAGCTACTGGGCCCTACAGGACACCTGGCGCGCAGGGCCACTCTATCAACACAGGGAAGCTGCCAAAATGCGGAGACAAAGAAACAGGTCACAAATGGCAGAAATGGAGGAAAGCAAACGATTGGATATAGAGTTCAAGGCCACGTTTATAAGGTTTTTCAAGAATTTTATGGAAACCGCCGATAAATTTAATGAATCCCTCAATAAGTATAGTGAGACCATGGAGGACATGAAAAAGGACCAACTAGAAATTAAGCATACACTGACTGAAATAAAGAATAATTTACAGAGATCCAGCAGCAGACAAGAGGATCCCAAGAATCAAGTCAAAGATTTGAAATACAAAGAAACAAAAAATACCCAACCGAAAAAGAAAAAAGAAAAGAGATTCCAAAAATATGAAGATAGTGTAAGGAACCTCTGGGACAACTTCAAGCGTACCAACATCAGAATTATAGGGGTACCAGAAGGAGAGAGAGGGCAAGATATTGAAAACCTTTTTGAAGAAATAATGACAGAAAACTTCCCCTACCTGGTGAAAGAAATGGACTTACAAGTCCAGGAAGCGCAGAGAACCCCAAACAAAAGGAATCCAAAGAGGACCACACCAAGACACATCATAATTAAAATGCCAAGAGCAAAAGATAAAGAGAGAATCTTAAAAGCAGCAAGAGAAAGAAACTCAGTTACCTACAAGGGAGTACCCATACGACTGTCAGCTGATTTCTCAACAGAAACCATGCAGGCCAGAAGAGAGTGGCAAGAAATATTCAAAGTGATGAATAGCAAGAACCTGCAACCAAGATTACTTTATCCAGCAAAGCTATCATTCAGAATAGAAGGTCAGATAAAGAGCTTCACGGAAAAGAAAAAGCTAAAGGAGTTCATCACCACCAAACCAGCATTATATGAAATGCTGAAAGGTATTCTTTAAGAAGAGGAAGAAGAAAAAGGAACTCTTACCATTTGCCACAGCATGGATGGAACTGGAGAGCGGATAAATACCACATGATCTCACTCATTTGTGGAATATAATGAACAACATAAACTGGTGAACAAGGACTGATCCAGAGACGGAGAGGCATTGATTGGACTGTCGGGACTTGGAGGGAAGGTAGGGGAGGGTGGGGGTAAGGGGGAAAGATCAACCAAAGGACTTATAAGCAAGCATATAGGCCTAATCAATGGACATGGACAACGGGGGGGTGAGGGCATGAGCGGGGGGGGGTGGGGGGGTGGAGGGTAACGTGGGGACAAGGACACATATGTAATATCTTAATCAATAAAAAATATATTAAAAAACAAACAAACAAACAAAAAAGTAGTTTTATATCTGTGAGTATGTGAAACACAGTTTAGAATTGTCTTATTATTTATTAGTGTATTATTGTCCATATGAACAACTGTAAACCAACTTTTGCTCCACCTGTATATATATTCTAAAGACAGTTCTACATTTCAAAGTTAGGGGTAACCTCAGAATTGATAAAATTTAAACCACTAATTTCATAAAGTGAAGAAATTATATAGAAATATCAACTCTAGGATTTAGAGCCAAATAATTTTGTATATGTATATTAAATATTAGCCTATATGATTATATCCACAACTAAATTGTATACAATAACTTTTAATTATATGTATATTAAAATACAAAGGCACATATATTTTTATGATAAAGAAGAATAAATTTATCATTTAGTAACATTTTTATGTACACTAATTGAGGAAAAATAATGAACATTTTATTTTACTTATTAGTTCTTAAAAGAGCAACTGACCTTTTCTTACTTCATGGCAAATGACCACTGACATTTTCTGCCTCTGTATTACCATTGCAACAATGGAATCAGCTATGTTAATTTAGTCATCATACTTTAAATCATTAAGTTAGAGAATGCCAATGCACTTGGGTGTCTTAGCATTCATTAAAAACATCAACTTTCAGACTTTGGTATAAAATTTTAAAAATTAAATATAAGATATTTAATATTCTTTTCCACATGGCTATCTAGCGCTGATATCTAGTTATTGGTCAGGTAGCCTCCTCATATCCAAATAAGTCAGATACTAAATCGGCTTAAAATGAATGGAATAGTGATAAAATAAAACCTGGGAAAACTTTTTTTTTCTCTGAATCAGGAAACATTGGAATTAATAAAAAAATCTATATCATATACATTGTATTTTTACACATCTATTTCATATTAAAGTGCACGTTTATATCTCAAAATAATTAAAATTTTTTTCAGTGCAATCAAATCCTATAGGTTGGGAAAATTTTGGTCTATCTCAAACATTCTCTCACCTCTGAGAATTACTCCCAGCTGATTCTGGGAAGATTTTCTGTAAAAAATTAGGAATTTAAAGGAATAGAAGACATGGTACTGACCCTCCAGAGCTTCCTGTGAAGATTGAATTGGCAGTTGTGTGTTTGATAATTTCAGAAGGGATGTAATCCTCTCCTGCTAGTTACCTGGGAAACATTTTCAGTCTTCTAGAGGCAAGTTGGTACACTTTTCTTAAAATTATTAAAAGTATTAAATATCCACCCAATAATTAAGGAAAACACATTGTTAAAATTTTAAAGTATATCTTTAATTTATTATAATTAGTTTTTAAATTTAAGGTAAGAAAAGAAGTAAAAGGTTAATTCTGATATATGCTGTTAAAAGTTCAAATGGTGCTGAAACCGGTTTGGCACAGTGGATAGAGCGTCGACTTGCGGACTGAAGGGTCCTGGGTTCGATTCCGGTCAAGGGCATGTACCTGGGTTGCGGGCACATCCCCAGTGGGGAGTGTGCAGGAGGCAGCTGATCGATGTTTCTCTCTCATCGATGTTTCTAACTCTCTATCTCTCTCCCTTCTTCTCTGTAAAAAATCAATAAAATATATTTAAAAAAAAAAAGTTCAAATGGTAAGTGCACAGAAGTGTCTCCACTTGCTCTGGCAGCGTGCACATTCCTTATGATTTATGCCGGCAGGTTCAGTACAGTGGAGGAGCAGAATTAAGGTGAGATCACATGGTGGAGGATAGGGAGGTGAGGAAATAAAGACGACCAGTGTATGGCGGTATCTCTTCTGGAGGCCCTTTCTCTACCCTAACCTAACTCCCAGTTCGTGGCCAACTTCCTTTGCTACTGATGCAGACAGAAGTCAAGCTGCTACCACATTGTTATGCTCAGATTGTGACCTTTATTGAAATATAACTTTACCTTCATAAGAATATACCAAGCACATTAAATAGCTAAATGGTAACATTACAGAGTCCATGTAGTTGCACATTTAGTATTAGTGAGTTCACCAGAAGGTTGTCTTCATGACATTCGACCTCTTTGAGGTAATCTCTTATAACTCTGATTGAATAAGTTTCAATGCTTTCTTCATGTTTTCTATCACTGCAATAAAAACATATTATTCTGTTAGTAAATGAAAATACCAGATATTATACTCTTTTAACCCCTGAAATCTAAAATTGGCCCGTTTAAATTAATGGCTATGAAAATGTGGGAATTTATTTACAACATTAAAGAATACTGTGCCTTCATGGACCTCATTTGAACTCCTGACATCCAATATAGTTCCTTTTCTCACACCACACACACACACACACACACACACAAACACACACACACACACACACTATGCTAAAGGTGTATATTTATATTTAGGGGTTATACCATTCAGATAGGGTTAATCAACTTTCTTTATGTTAAACAGTTTTATAAGAGGTTTTGTGAGAGTGTCTATTTTTTAAATTAATCATTTTGTATCGTATCATTGGATTTGACATGCATAGTTGTCTTATCCTATCTAATAGAAGCCTAATATGCTAAGTGTCTGGTTGTCCGGTCGACCGTACAACCAATCAAAGCATAATATGCTAATGATATGCTAAAGCCACTCAACTGCTCACTATGATGTGCACTGACCACCAGGGGGCAGACGCTCTGACCAGTAGGTTAGCTTGCTCCTGGGGTCCTGCTGATTGGGACTGAGTGAGACGGGCCGGACACGCCCTGGAGCCCTCCCGCGGGACCTCCCCGGCTGGCCAACCTCCCGGGTCTTGATTGTGCACTCGTGGGGTCCCTCGGCCTGACCTGCACCCTCTCGCAATCCGGGACCCCTCGAGGGATGTCAGAGAGCTGGTTTCAGCCTGATCCACAGGCCAGGCCAAGAGGACCCCACTGGTGCATGAATTTATGCACCGGGCCTCTAATTAAACATAATTGACAATGAATGTTGTAAAAATTAGATTAAAATCTCAAAACAGACTGTATCTCCTTGCTTACAGGCATTAACGGGAGAGAAAAAGATTTAATTATTACCACTGTGAGGAAATCATATATGATTGCTTGCTTTCTTAAAGCTGAATTTTAATGTGTATTCTATTCTTTTTAGTGGTCTCCAAATTAGTGATTGTGGAAATTATTACACATCCCTGTTAAAAAAGAGATTCTGAGGTGCCTAGAAATTCTGATTTTGATGGGAGATAAGGGTTTGCATTGTTTGAAATATATATTTTTATTGATTTCAGAGAGAAAGGCAGAGAGAGAGAAGATAGAAATCCCAATGATGAGAGAGAATCACTGATTGGCTGCCTCCTGCATGCTCCCACTGCGGATCAAGCCCACAATCTGAGCATGTGCCCTGACTGGGAATTGAACCAAACCACGACCTCCTGGTTCATAAGTTGTCCCTTAACCACTGAGCCATACTGGTCGTGCAAGGATTTGCAGTTTTAAACACTACCACCACCATCTAACCCAATGATTCTGATTTGTTGATGGTACTGTTTGTGGGGAAGCACTGACGTAGGGCATCATTGACCTTTCTAACAGTCAAGTGTCAGCTAGTACCACTGTTCAAGATAATCTGTGAATGCTTACATATCGGTAAATCCTGTGGTTCATATGTGTACAGTCTATTAGAGTATCTTCCAGTTATATCAGCTCTGACTGTTAAAGAAGGATCTGCAAAGAAAAAAATAATTCACTAATGCATTATCTAAATGTTTTAAAAATCATTCTTGACTCTTAATCTAAAACAAATAAATGTTAAACAAATTTATGATGAGTTAACATAAATTTTTCCATTTTAGTGTGTCATAGTTTTCTGTCAATACAGTTTGGGGAACTTTACTGAAAGTATATGGGGCTATTGATTTAATAGATGCAGTGAATTTCAATTATAGAACTAACAAGAGCTATTATTGACTGGGTTAGACATGACTTCCCTTGAACTAGCATTTAAAAATAAATAAAATAAGAATGCTATTGATTTTGTAAATCTGATGGAATGAGATTATACACATACCCACAAACATGATCCTAGGCACATATTGCCCATCTGGTGATAAATTTTTATCTGTGGTCTCATGCTAGGAAGAAAATAAAAAAAATAATTGGTATTGGATTGCATTGTTTTTGACAATTGTTTTTGAAAATATTTTATGTGAACAAGGTTTTCATTAAATTGTATATTTTGGCCTTTTCAAGTTCATATAATCTTTTATACCTACCAATCTTTTATACCTCTTTTTGTCTCAAAAATAGATTTTAAAAAAGGGATTTAAGCTTTCCATTGAATTGTGATATTAAGAAAACATTGTAGAAGTCAAGTACCATGAGATTCAGCATGATGAAATTATTCTGAGCCATTTCTTGTATTTCTTCATTTTGGGCAAACACTTTTTTGAGTTCTGTTGGGGAAAACATAATGGACACCAGTCAGCTTTAAAGATAAAGACACCTTCAATGTAAATAACATAGCAAAGTCAAACTAGTATTTTCTACTTGTTTGTATTTATATCTTAGATGTAAACTGTTTATTAGCCTATGGCCACTTTGTCTCTCACTGAGAAGCAATGATGGACAGGGTCTGTCAATGAAGATATCAGAGTATAATCCAATTAATGAAGCCACCAATTTTATAATTTCATGTAACTCGTTGGTGCAAATAGCAAGTTTTTCCACCCCCTCTTTTTTTTTGGTGGGAGGAAGAGGGAAATAAAATTCCGAAGAACATATACACATATTCAATAGATTGCTAACAATCATTGTAGTCTTTAAGCACTGAGTAAAATGGTGATGTAGCAGATGTCTTTTTCTTTTTTTTTAAATGGGATTGCCTGAGCGCTGTCTTAACAATTTTCACCAGGTCACTTTTTCTAGTTCTCTTAGAAATATAATACGATGTGAGGAGCTGAAATTACCTTGGCAGTATTGACAATCCTCCAAGTGATGAATGACCATCAATGGCTTGTTACTAAACAGAAAGAGTGTGGAGTTGAGTCAGGTGACTAACTCTGAGTCAGAATGTACATTCAAATTAGATTTAAAGTTTTCACACTTTCAACAAGATTTAGAGTAAAAATCTGATTGACACAGCATAGCAATGTAGTCTGCAGGAGTGTTACCCAGTGCCTGGCCCCAGAACTTTAGCATCACCAGGTAGCTCAATAGAAGTGGAAATTCTCACGCTCCCTCCCAGGCCCACTCAGGATCTCTGGGGTGGGGTCCAGGAACCTGTAGCTTAAGAAGCTTACCAGCAGATTGCTATGTACACTGTAGTAGTTATACTAATAAAAATCAATTCTGTCTCCAGAGATGAAAGGATATAATAAACAAGATATTAATTTCCAATGAACATCTGGTGTAAGAGTTCAGGAGAGTCAAAGTTTTTATGTCACTTTTTTTTTAAATTTTCACCAAAATGCTATTAATATTTGACTATTTTCACATCCTGTCATTCTTTTAACAACTCACAGTTTACAAACAATCTCAGTGAGAGTTCCCTTTCTATACATTTTTCGGTTTCATTTTGGTTTTAACTCTCTAAGAAAAAGTTTTTGTGGTAGCTACTTGACTTTCCTGCTTGTTAGAGTTAGAAAGAAATTAGAATATTAACTATTATGAAGGAGAAAGGAATTATGATTTAGATATATAGGATGTTTTTAAAATGTTTCTTTAATTTTGAGAGGATGCTGGGTACAAAAATAGACCCTAAATCTTTTAAAAAACAACAGAGATAATCATGTGACATACTTGTCATTGAATAACCCCATTTTTAACTTTAGTCTTAAAAGTGTTAAATAGCAAACTTTGAATTTTTATTTTATTTAATCCTCAAACTTGAACTATAAGTATATTTTAGGTAAGAATAAGTCTTATAACTCACCTTTAAGATTTATGACATGGATATAAAGCTAGCATTTGCCAACTGCAAACTTATTGGTGAAAAAGCAGACTAGAAATACGATTAATCAAATATTATTCCTGCTCTTTAGGAAAACTAACCCTTAGAATATTTATTTACAGTTTTTTAGAGGCAAGTATAGAACTTGATCCTCGTAAGCATTAAGTGGTAATCTTTCTAGTAGGTAACTCTTGGCCTGGTTGAGCCTAGGTAGGTATACTGTCCTGAGACAGAACGCTTTAGCGGCACGAGTCATTCCAATTTCTTCCCAGCACCTGCTCAGCGGGTGGCAACAGCGACAGATAATGTAGGGAAAGACATTGACATAACTCCTGGAGAACTAATTTTTGGAGCAGATTTCTGGGCAATTGGAGTCCAAGGAAAAATTGATCAAGACCACAGAAATGTCAGTGTTAACAGTTCAGCTATGGATAGGTTGTTTAGGCATTCAAAGCAAGACACTCTTTCCTTTCAGGAAAAGCAGAGAAGTAATTCTGGCAGACACTGAAGTAGGAACAGTCTAAAATAAGGGCTCTTTTCGGCAAAGAGACAAATCCTTTATTTTTGAGGTTTTGCAGACGGTGGTGTCTTATTTGCAGCTCTCCAACTCTGCCATTATTGAACAAAATCAGCCATGGACAATATGTAACAAAATGAGTGTGGCTGTATTACGGTAAACCTTAATTTATAGATCCTTAAATTTGAGTATAATGTAACTATCACGTGTCCAAAATACTGGTCTTTCTTTCTTTGCTTCTCTCTCTCTCTCTCTCTCTCTCTCTCTCTCTCTCTCTCTCTCTCTCTCTCTCTCTCTCTCTCTCTCTCTCTCTCTCCTCCCTCCTCGCTCCTCCCTCTATCATTCCTTCCTTTCTTCCAATAAATAAAGCCTTATCTTTTTTTTAAAAAAATGTATCTTTATTGATTTCAGAGAGGAAGGGAGAGAGAGAGAGATAGAAACATCAATGATGAGAATTATTGATCTGTTGCCTCCTGCATGCCCCGACTGGGGATCGAGCCTGCAACCCAGGCATGTGCCCTGACCAAGAATCAAACTGTGACGCTCAACCACTAAGTCACACCAGCCAGGCTACACACTAGTTTTCTTCTGGTAAAAACTTTTTAAAAACGTAAAAATCATTGTTGGTTCACAGATCAAATAAAATTAGGTGGTCCCTGGTCTAACATTCTCACAACTAGCCCACCAGAATATGAGAAACGAGTTGATAGAAAGAGTAAACATTTTTGAATGCTGTACTTCCAAGATTCTGTAACACCAGAGTCGACCAAGCCCAGTTTATCAGCATCATTTGGAGAATGATCTTTTAAAATTTTATATATTTTTTTTCTTTTAAAATGGGTTACAAATTCAAATAGTTTAAAATCAAAAAGGTAAAAAGGTAAAAATTTTTCCTCCCACTCCTGCCTTTCAGAAGTAAACTGTTACTATTTCTTATGTGTCCTTCCATGTACCTGAATATGTGTATGTGTGTGTGCATGTATATGTCCATGCTTATGAATATAAATAAGCATAAGTATGTGTTTATGTACATGCATATATTTCTGTAAATGTATATGTTTATGTTTATGCAAATGAATATACCATTATTGAATATATTGAGTATGTTCACATGCATGCCCATATGTATGTATATATTTCTTTCTTTTAAAAAAATACAAATATGAGTGCACTATGCATATGTTTTTGCATTTTGCTTTTTTTTATCATAATGGCACCTCCCACATAGCATTCCCTGTGCTTCAGGATATGGATATTCTTTAGTTTAATTAGTTCATTGAAGATAGATATTTAAATTGCTTCCAATTTTTTTGTGTTTAGATTATCTCCAAACAAAAACACTGCTTTGGTGATGTTATTTAAGATTTTACATATAGGTAGGTAAATTTCCAGAAGTCAAATTTCTAGGTCAGAGAGTATGTGCATTTATAATTTTGATACAGTATATGCTTTCCATAGAAGGAATAGGGTGAGGTAAGAAAAACCTTAGGGTGAAAAAGTTAAGCGTCTTATTTTGGCTTCCAAGGACCCTCTCTTACCTCACCCTTCTACCAGCCCTTCCCTACTCCACGAATTTAAAAAATTAGTATTTTGCCGAAACCGGTTTGGCTCAGTGGATAGAGCGTCAGCCTGTGGACTGAAAGGTCCCAGGTTCGATTCCGGTCAAGGGCATGTACCTGGGTTGCGGGCACATCCCCAGTAGGAGATGTGCAGGAGGCAGCTGATCGATGTTTCTCTCTCATCGATGTTTCTAACTCTCTATCTCTCTCCCTTCCTCTCTGTAAAAAATCAATAAAAAAAAATATTTTTTTAAAAAATTAGTATTTTGCAATAGTATCCCCTAGTACCTTAATAGCTTCATTTTTATAATGAAACTAGAGGCCCAGTGCACGAAATTGTGCGGGTAGAGTCCCTAGGCCTAGCCTGTGATCATGGCCATCTTCTGCCCGTTCACCAGTCCCCAGGCTGAACGCCGCCTCCAGCTGGCCTGAGTCCCTGAGCCACGGGGGATGAGCTGGGGAATCCCAACGGCCTGACAGCCAGCCCGGTCCTCCTGCCACCCACCCCGGTTCCCCTTTTCACCATCGCTGATCCATCGGAGCCTGCAGGCCAGGGGGAGGGACCAAGAGGTCAGCCATTCTGCCAGCTTGCCAGTCCCCAGTCCCGCCCTGCTGCCACCCACCCACTTCCCCGTGGTTCCCCATTTGCCTGCAGGTAAGGGTGGGGTGTGGGGGAGGTGGGGGAGGGGAGGGACTGAGAGGTGGTCAATGCACCTCATGGTGAATGGTTGAGCGGTCATTCCGGTCATTACGCTTATGGTCCCTGGCCTTTTATTATATAGGATCTTTGTAATTTATTATGATGAAATTTGACTTATGAATCAAAATTGATTTATTTTTCCCAGATGATTTATTCTTCTCTCTAACATTAATTTATTTTACATATTTTATCTCCCCTACCTCGATTTAAAATGTTAGTTTATTGTGTAAACATTTTTCTGTAATATCCAGTTTTATTTTTATAATCTTAATTTTGATTTATTTACCAATATTTTATTATTTTATTATAACTTTGCCAAATGTTTCATATCAATTAAGGACTAACTGTGGTGATTATAGACATTCTTGTCTTATTCAGATTTCAGTAGGACACTTCTTTTTAAAAAATTAATTAAATTTTTTGGGTGACATTGGTTAATAATATTATATGAGTGTCAGGGATGCAATTCTATAATACATCATCTGGCATTGTATGTTTGTTTTTCCAATAAGCATGATGTGGATTTTTTTGCTGGGTTGAATATTTCCTTATTAGGATAAATGAAAATAAATTAATCTTGTTAAATAATTTTTCTAAAAAAATTCAGACCTGGAGTTTGCATTCTATTAAATGCCTTTCAGCATTTATGGAGATAGGGGATACTTATATGATATGTCTCCTTATAAATATTAAATATTATTTAAATTAATAGATTTCTTAATCTTGAATCTGCCTAGTATTCTCAGACTATATTTCACTTAATCAGGGTGTATTCTTTAAATGTTCTACTGGCTACTCTTTGCTAATATGTTGTTTGTTTTTTATATTCCTTTTAGAAATGATTATTTTGTAGACTTCTTTATTTTGCAATATTTTGTTCAGTGTTGAGACAGCCTTTTACTCAATTCTAATTTGGAATCTTTCCTTCTTTTTAAAAGAGTATTAGAATAGAATGTTCTTCAGATATTTGATAAATTCCCAGGGTGCTTTAAAAAAAAATACAAGTTTCTCAGCTCCATCCCCAAAGATTTAGTAAGTCTGTAAGAATAAAAATCATGTCACTCTTGGTCATTGAGCATAGAACAGTGCCTGGCACATAGCTGTGGCCACTCAGCACTAATTTACTGATTGATCATGAATATGGATTTTAAAGAAAATTAGCTGAATAGTTCTGATCAGACAGTCCTGGGAACTGCTATTCTAAACCAGTTTTTTGTTAAAGCTTGTATAATGCCTACTAATGGATATTGTTCTTTTATATAACTTATATTCAAAAGCTTGCTTGTCCAGTTAAGAAATTAATACAGCCCTGGCCAGTGTAGCTTAGTTGGTTGGGTATTGTCCCAGGCACCATAAGGTTGCCAGTTCAATTCCTGGTTAGGGAACATACCCAGGTTGTGGGCTCAATCTCAGGTAGGGGTTGTGCAGGGGGCTCTCGCATAAATGTTTCTCTGTCCCTCCCTCTCTAAATATCAATAAAAATATTTTAAAAAGAAATTAAAATAAAGTATTTAGAGCTTTTGTTTGTAAAAAACATTGTAATGGCAACTCTAAGTTGCACAATAGTAGAGCAAATGCATGTGATATCTTTTCAAAAGTGAACTTGCAAGGTTTTGGCTCTTTTGTGAGAGGTATCTATATGGTCTGTCAAAATTAACTGAGAGGTGTTTTACCTTTTTTGAATATGGAAGAGACCTTCTTCATAAGTCTGTACCCAAGTGATGTCATCTCCCCATCCTAGAATAGAAGAGAAATCAATGCATTAATTCAGGACCACAGAGGAGCTCTGAAGTAGGCATGTGACAAGCAGATATCTCTCTACAGGTACTAGTAAGCTACCAAGCACTTGCCTGATATATGGTATAGAGAATGTCTCTCTATATAAAAGCCTAAGTGACTGTTAGGACAAACAGCCGGAACGACTGGTTGACCAATCGCTATGATGTGCACTGACCACCAGGGGGCAGATGCTCAATGCAGAAGCTGCCCCCTGGTGGTCAGTGCACTCCCACAGCCAACTTCCAGCGGCTGGCCAACCACCTGCAGTCCCTCCCCGCTGGCCAGCCAACCTCTTGCGGTCCGTCCCCCCCCCCTCCCCTCCCCAAATTTGTGCACTGGGCCTCTAGTATAATTATAATTAGATATGAAGAGGTGGTATCCTTCCAGATCATAGAGCTGAGATTTTGTGATTGTGTTTCCACCCTTAAGGTCCATGGCCTTGAACCCAGTAAGCTCTCAATAAATGCTATTATTAGTGATGATTGAAAGGACATCTCTGGACTGTGCAAAACCTCTGGTTTCAGAATGAACAGCAGGAAATAGCAGTTAATCTTTGTACACTTTGTAAGTATAGTCGGAATACCTTTGAACAATACCATACAGTGCCCTTGTATTTTGAGTGCCAAGAAATGCTGACCCATTCTAAGTCCTTAAACATCGTGAAAATGGAAAAATGAATTCCAAATTTTTGCTTTGAATTTTGATTCAGAAAAAATTCTGGTGTTTCATGTTTGAGACACAGGTGTTCTGGAAGCATCCAGAAGAGTGAAGACCAGAGAAACAGAGAGCAATGAGTAGAGAGAGGGACCCACTAGCTTTTAAAAAAGTGATACAGGTAGTTGGGAATGTGTATTAGAGATTAAAGAATAAGATCATTGAGGAGTAGAATGCACAAAAAACATTCAGAAATACTACAGGGTATTTTCAGAAAATGTCTTGGTTTATGGATAAGAAAGATTGAATCAACTTGAAAATAGAAATATTTCTAGGCTAATTTAGACCCAGATTTTCTTGTATGTTTCCCATGTTGTCAGACTGCAGTTTCTGGTTTTGATACCATGGCTACAAGATGGCCAAAAATTATGAAGCAGAATTATAAATTAAGATAAACACATTTCCATGATTTTGCTTGTTGGTTTGTTTTTGCTTTGTCTGCTTTTTGGTAACCACTGTATTAAAATATAATTCACATGCAAATACAATTTATCCATTGAAAGTGCACCCTCTTTTTGTATATACACAGAGTTGTACAACCATCACTATAATCAATTCTAGAACATTTTCATAGCTTCAAATAAAACCCCTGTACCCTTTAGCTATCACCCCTCATCCCTCCTTCTCCCCCAGTCCTAAAAAGTACCTAATCTACTTTATGTCTCTATACATTTCTTATTCTTGATATTTCATATAAATGGAATCATACAATATGTAGTCTTGTGACTGGATGTTTTTACTTAATATAATGTTTTCAAGGTTCATCTGTGTTGTGTCATGTATTAGCACTTCATTCCTTTATATGGCCAAATATTATTCCATGGTATGGATATATCACATTTTATTTATCCATTCATCAGTTGAGGGACACGGGTTGTTTCTACTTTTTGCTTTTTATGAATAATTCTGCTGTGAACATTAGTATATAAGCTTTTGTATGGACATATTTTTTTTTTTTTTTTTTTTTTGGTTAAAGTATTACAAAGGGTATTACATATGTGTCCATTTTATCCCCCCGCCCTAGACAGTCCCCTAGCCTCCCCTACCCCCCAATGTCTTATGTCCACTGGTTATGCTTATATGCATGCATACAAGTCCTTTAGTTGATCTCTTACCCCCCTACCTCCTGCCCCGCAACCCTCCCCGGCCTTCCTGCTGCAGTTTGACAATCTGTTTGAGGCAGCTCTGCCTCTGTATCTATTATTGTTCAAAAGTTTATAATGGTCTCTATTATCCATGAATGAGTGAGATCATGTGGTATTTTTCCTTCATTGACTGGCTTATTTCACTTAGCATAATGCTCTCCAGTTCCATCCATGACGTTGCAAATGGTAAGAGTTCCTTCCTTTTTAGAGCAGCATAGTATTCCATCGTGTAGATGTACCACAGTTTTCTAATCCATTCATCTACTGATGGGCACTTAGGCTGTTTCCAGATCTTAGCTATGGTGAATTGTGCTGCTATGAACATAGGGGTGCATATATCCTTTCTGATTGGTGTTTCTGGTTTCTTGGGATATATTCCTAGAAGTGGGATCACAGGGTCAAATGGGAGTTCCATTTTCAGTTTTTTAAGGAAACTTGTATGGACATATTTTTATCTTGGGCTATCTACTTAGGAGTAGAATTGCTGGGTCACATGGTATCTACATTTAATCAGTTGAGGAACTGTCAGATTTTTATTCAAATGATTGCACTATTTTGTACTCTTAATAGTAATGTTATTGGTTTGTTTTTGCCTGATTTTAGTATCTTAACATTGGAAGACATATTATGTTGGTTTAATACCCCTTCTATCTGTAATAATCCTGAAAGATTTTCTTTATAACTTTGCTCAAATCTATGTAGTAACTTCACACCATATTTTGCACTAACTAAGAGTTATTCAGAAACAGCCAGTGGGACTGGGATCCTATTTAATTTTTCTATTGTCAGTCCCAATCAGGAGAGGCTCACACCGCTGCAGCAGCGCTCACCAGTTGTGAACACCCTCCCGAGGGGAAGGGCCTGTAGGATCAGGCCAAAACCGGCTGGCTCTCCGACATCCCCCGAAGGGGTCCCAGATTGCGAGAGGGTGCAGGCCAGGCCGAGGGACCCCACTGGTGCATGATTGGGGCCGGGAAGGACCGTGGGAGGGCTCCAGGGCATGTCCGGCCACATCTCACTCAGTCCCGATCTGCTGGACCCCAGCAGCAAGCTCACCTACTGGTCGGAGTGTCTGCCCCTTGATGGTCAGTGCACATCATAGCAAGTGGTTGAGTGGCCTTAGCATATCATTAGCATATTACGCTTTGATTGGTTGAATAGTCGACTGGACGACTGGACACTTAGCATATTAGGTTTTTATTATATAGGACTGAATACCTACTATATGCCAGGCACTGAGCTGGGTGTTGGGTGCTGGGCAATTCTTTTGACTCAAAAGGAAGTTAGGCTTTTGGGGGTCACTGTTGCTTTTTTTCTTGAAATTTCTGTTACCTTTTCCCAATAATCTTCCCTCTTCTTCCTAACACACTCTCTATTTAATTGTTTGGTGTTGCCCCCTTTCTCTAAGGGGCTCCATGTACGACTCTGTACACTGTATCCAAACTCTTCCCTCTTATCCCTACCTTTAAGCCTCATTTATTCTGAGCCGTATTCTCTCAATTGTTTCCTATATGCTGACAGATGCTAAAAGGCTTAACCAAATGTAAACCAGTTCTTAATAATAGGATTCACAGCTGATATCAGTCATCTTCCTATTAAAGTAGTGTTAAATAACAGAATTAGCAGACTTATCAAGTTGTTTAAAATTTACCATGTATGTTGAATATATTTCTCATGAAATTCACCAATTTTTAAAAAATCTTCCCCTGAGAATATATTTTCGTTGCCTTTTTTTTTTTTTTTTTTGAGAGAGAGAGAGAGAGAGAGAGAGAGAGAGAGAGAGAGAGAGAGAGAGATACATACATCAATGGGCCAATGGGCTGCCTCATGACCTGGGATCAAACCCACAATGTAGGTATATGCCCTGATGGGGAGTTGAACCCACAACCTTTTGGTGTATGGAGTGACATTCTAACCAACGACCCACACAGCCAGGGCCACGAATGTTGGTGCTTTATGGTACAGTTGTTTAACTTAGTCCTGGAAGGTCTGTAGGGGCAATGATAAGTTTAGTATTCCACTCCAAGACTACTGAGCTCATTGCTTTATAACTATTGTGTTTATACAGAGAGATTCATGATAAGTTATACTTAGAAAAATATTTCCTTCTTTTAATTTACTTCTTTTTCAAAACTCGCTAGTCTTTTTAGTTTATAGTTTTTGTGATTTTGAACTAAAGTAGAATGAATTAACTTGGCTGAACTTTGATGGGTAATTATACATCTGCTAAGAAATGATGAACTTGGAAAGTCAATATTTTAAAATTTGAAATTATGTTATAATCCATTTGTTTGCTCCATTCATATGCTATTCCAAGTGGTGGTCAAGTGTTTTGAGGTTTGTACTACTATTTTTAAATTAGCTATATGGAGACAAATGATTTTCCTCCCATTTTTGTTACCTGGAAATGTAGGAGCTGATTTTGAGAATTTTCTCTACAAACTGTTTCTTTACAGATGAAGATATGTTTGTTTCTTAGGTCAAAGGAAAGTACTAAGTACAAAATAGAAATGTTTTCTAAACATGTAGCCAATGATAGACCTGGATTATGATGTCAAAAACCACTGCAGTTGTTTTTTGGAGTCAGTATAACAAACACTTGGTTACCCAAACTTTTCAGAGGATGGAATAAAATATAACTTTCTGGGGGTTCTTGTATAAAATCATTCCAAATCATCATTTTTGCATGAATAGAAGACAGGGAATTGGAGCAGATTTTGAGAGATCTTAATTCCCTTTAAGATATCATTATGACACATCAATTATTATTTTCTAGGACTCTGGTTACCAAAGTTACAGGCCCCCAAACCAATTCATCACCATTTCTATAAACACTATAGCAAATTATTATTGGTTTTCAATTGCTTTGATTCACTCTTTTTTTTTTTTTACTTAAAAAATATGTTTTTATTGACTTTAGAGACAGAGGAAGGGAGATGGAGAAAAACATCAATTGGCTGCCTCTTGCATGGCCCCAACTGGGGATTGAGCTGGCAACCCAAGCCCTACCCGGAAACTGGTTGCCTCTTGGTGCATGGGTCAATGCTCAACCAACTGAGACACAACAGCTAGGGCTGGTTCAGTCTTTAAAATCAACTAGTCTTTTCTGGGTTTTGCTTTTGCTTACTTTAATGTGGTAAACAACAAAATATTGCAGTTAATTGAGTTTGCTTTAAATGTAGAATGTGGGTAAGAGACTAGGAATTTGGAAACCATTCAAATGGCTGAGTTTAGAGAATAAAATGAGATTCTAGTACCTCTTGAGAGTGTCTGAGGAGGCCTCTTCTCTTTTTTGATGGCAATGGCAAGGTTGGAAGACACTGCAACCAGGAAGAGGCAGAGGGCCAAAGCCGAGTGTAACATCACGTGTTCTTGAGAATCCCTCCGACGAAGCTAGGTGGTAGAAAATAATGTTCAGAATCTAGTAGGTTACTTCAAGCAGTCATTTAAGAATCAGACAGCTTGCTCTGCTTGTGTGAGTTGACATGGTACAACCTCCCAGAACTTTCATTCACTTGCTATTTATAAAATATTTTAAAAATGCTATCAACTCAATAATGTCCACTTGGTGAAAAGCCACATTCTGGGCATGCTGGGAGCAGTACAATGACGTTGAAAGAAAACTGATTGGGGCACTCAAAGCTCACATCTGACTGTGTTTCAGTGCTCACAGCATTACAGTGAAGCTCATATAAGATCAGGTTTATTAAAGGCCTTTCAACTCTAAAGTGCAATGCAAAGGTGATGTGTGGGCATGCATATTCATTTGATTCTTCTTGATCTCTGTGCCAAGATAATAAGATTAGGCATGAACACTTATTGCTTACAATTGAGTTCAGAGGGAAAAATAGAATATGGAGATTCTTGTTTTTCAGGTCCTCTGTAGTCATTCATCATTTTCATGCTTCCATCAGTGACTCAGCCTTTTGCCCTTCAGCTTACAAACCAGCTCTTTTAGAAATCAAATTTATTGTCACATTGCTATAAATTAAATATATGTGTAAAGAAGAACAGGCTTGTTGCATCTATAGTTATCCCTTGGTTAGCTAGGATTCAAGTGGATTTTTAAGTCAATGTACTGTTCCTTATACTCTGCACGTTAAGATATAATCAAAAGTCTAGAGTTGGATCTAAGCTGGACTTCAACCACTTGATTAATATCTTACATGATATGTTTAATGCTTGTTAGATGTACAGTTTCAGCATTTGTAGCATATAAAACCCACGTTAAAAGTAGTTAACATGTGCAGTTTTGAAATCACTGTAAAATATAAAATAAATGTACAGACATCTTTCATGTTTATTTAAAACTAGAGGCCTGGTGTATGGAATTTGTGCACTTGGGGGAGGGGGGTGTCCCTCGGTCTGGCCTTTGCCTTCTCGCAGTCTGGGACCTCTCAGGGGATCTCTGACTGATGGCTTAGGCCTGGGGAGTTGGCCTAAGTTGGCAGCCAGACATCCTTAGTGCTGCTGTGGAGGCAGGAGAAGCTCCTGCCACTGCTGCTGTGCTCACCAGCTGTGAGCCCGGCTTCTGACCGAGCAGCGCTCCTCCTGTGGGAGTGCACTGACCACCAGAACCAGCTCCTGGGTCAAGTGTCTGCCCCCTGGTGGTCAGTGTATGTCATAGTGACCGGTTGTTCCGCTGTTTGGTCAGTTTGCATATTAGCCTTTTATTATATAGATTCCTTCAGAGCAGTTTTCCTGTTGACTTACATTATTTAATAGTGAATTCCCCACCAAAATAAGAGAATGACCGGTTTGCAATTCTGCACGAACATGAATATTGCTATATGTAATTGTATTAGGCATTGTGGAAAATTGAAAGATTAATAAGACAAATGCACCTTAAAATAACTTACTGTTTGACAGTGTTAAAGGTTCATTATATATTATAGCAATCATAGTCATGGAGAGAACAGTTTGGTGGTGGGAAGTTTATAGATTCTAGGGTTCTCTAGACATTTCCTTATTCCTCTCATCTAGTATCTTTTCCTTGTCAGTGGTCTCTCCCTGCAGTCCCCCTCTATTTAAATCAATTCCCTTCCTAATCTGCAATGAACCCATTTTTTTAATTTCTTTGGCCTTAATTATTAAAAAACCCTGTTAAAAAAGGAACCACGGTGCCTGATAAGAATGACAAGTCAGGCTCTTGTAAGTTATTAATCCCATAAAGCATTCAGAATGCCTTCTTGTACCTCAAGGACTGGTCATCTTATACCTTAAAGACTGAAACAAAGGGAAGGTAGATTTTAGTAGGGGAAAGAGGCTGCTGAATCTGGACCACAGAGTCCGAGGTGGGGCGAGTAGTCTCTGTCAGGCTGAAAATGGCAGCAGAGAAATTGAAGCAACCCTGACCCAGTGACCTCTCAAAAAGTCTATGATTGAGTGACAAGAGGCTCAAAACACCCTGAAATTCTATGTTAAGTTTTATGGGCCTCAGTTCACTTTCCTGGGGAAGACCTGCCTGAAGAGTCTCCCAAGGGTCTTGGATAGAAAGCAGAGTTAGGGAAAGCTAATCTGAAGGCAGCATCAGGAAAGGTTCTCTGTAGTAGAGACAGATGCGTAGGTGAAATCTGTATTGAAACACAGAAAGTGTAACTTCATGCCTTCCTGACTGAGAGCTGCCAAGTTTATAGTAGCATGGGAATCACACTTCTCTTTTCATATTTCAAGTTATTATGTATTACTGTTAAAGACAGTTCTTAAAAAATAATCAAAATATTGAATTTTTGTTTTACATTCTCTGGTGAAAGAATGTAAAATAGATATGAAATATATTCTATGGTAAAGCTGATCAATTTATATATTGTTATTTTTGGACGAACATGTTTTCCTTGGGAAAACAGAATGCTGACTACTGAGGGTTCCCTAACCCCAGGTGCAAGGTTAAGCTGCTCGGGGAACCAATGAAAATGCCATGGTTACGGCCTTACGGCAGCCTACAGCAATGCACTCAGGAGGCAATAACCTGATGTCTACAATTAGATGTTATAAACATTGGCCAGTGAGCATCTTATGACACCAATATTTTACTTTTCAAAAGTAAGTTAACATAAGTCATTTACTTAGAGGTCATATAAAATTTCTATTTTAAAAATAAAACATTTAAAAAGCAACAGGGAAAAACAAGTGTTACTTGTAGCATACTTTCTTTGAGGGATCATTTTTGGTCAATGCTAGTTTATTGCAATATCATTAAGAGAGAAAATAAAAGTATGAAGCCAGCAAAGGAAACCCAGTGCCTTAAAAGAAAAACATACAATTGCATGGAATGTTCCCTACCCTTTACTGAAGCTCTCACTGTGGAATAGCAATACGTGGAACACTTAAGTACAGCAGAGCTTGGCCACTGGTTAAATAATCGAGAAACTTCGCTTGCTTACCTGAACTAGCCAGTGCTCTCGCTGGAAGTGTATTCTGGATGTTTCTGGTTAAAAAATGGGCGTGGATTTATAGACCCAGACAAGCACACACACCCACACCCCTGACCTGCAGCCCCACCTGCATGGAAACAAGAGCACATTCACCTGCAAACTTACAAAAACAGGCTTGTCTGAAGAACCCGGGACCCCTCTCCAGTTCTCATGCTCCTCACGCTAAAACCTCTTCTCTTGTTCTCCGAAGTCAGATTGAGTGTCCTTATAAAATGAGGCCAAATACAACCTTTGGGGTTTTTTTTTTTCCTCTTCTACCTTTTACTTCCCATGGTAACTTAATGTTTGGTTGGAGTTCAACACCAGAAAAAAAAATCAGGGGGAAGAAAGGAGCTGGTCTGAATGCAGGAGCTGTGTGTACACCATTGTTCTCAATGAAAGCTCAGCGAGGCTTGCAGATTAGATATAAAGCAAACAGAAATTCCTAAGGCTTACTCTGTTGACAGGAATGCAATTAACAGCTAAAGCGACCGGGTCCTTTTTAACCGAGAGAGAAAAGAAAACGCTGTTTTAAAATTCAATGTTTTTATAATTTGAATACTCTTTACAGTCTTTCTAGAAAACCCTTTTCCTTACTCTGCAAAAAAATAGGCAATTAGATAAGTGTGATTATATTTATCTGTTAGATGTAATTTTTTTTTAATAATTAAGCCATAATTATGGTCCAACATCTTCCAAGTATAGAGTTGAATCAAAACAAAAAGTAAAATTCTTTTTCCCCTTCAGTACTGAGTTTCCTTGGGCACCCCACCCAACATACACACACACACACACACACACACACACACACACACACACACACCTTTCAAGTTCCACTTCCCCAAGTTAATCACTGTTAAAACGATCTAGGGTAGGGTTACCAAATCTGCCTCATCTGTTTTTGGGCAATGCAGGAGCTAAGAATTATTTTTACATTTTTAAATGGTTGCGGGGGGGGGGGGATCAAAGGAAGAATAATATTTTGTGACATGTGAAAATTACATGGAATTGAAATTTCAGTGTCCATAGTGGAGATTACTGGATGGAACCTTTCCTTAGGTTTTGCGTATGGCAATGTCTGCAGAGTAACTGCAATGCTGAGTCCTAGGACAGGGACTGTGTGTCCTGCACGCCCTAAAATATTCAGTCTGGCCTTTTACAGAAAATGTTTGCTGATCCCTAATCAAGGATATTGTTCCATAAATTTTTCTTTCTTCTCTTCTTCCCTTCTCTTCCTCCCTTGATTTTCTCCTCCCTCTTTCCTCTCTTTCTCTCCTTTTGTCTAATTACTCGATATATTAACAAATGCACTGCTAAAGAGGGGTGATGCTGGTGTTGCTTCTGACATTGAAGTGAGCGTGCCTCCAGTATTTTAACTTTAGACATAGTGCGGGTCTGGTTGCCCCTGTTACGAAAGGAGCCGTTAGGTGTCCCTATGCTACACCTCTCAAAATCGGGAATGCTGGATTTTTGTCTCTGTAGATGGACAAATGGGTTTTCTCATTTCACATAGGATATGTATAGTTTTCCTCACTGAACCTTCCTCTGATCCCGAGAGGAACCCCGCATCGCCGGGTTGTAGTATTCTAGTTCTATACCCCTGACTTGTGGATTTTTAAGATTCTGCTTCCTTTCTTATGAAGGACTCTCAAAGGGAACCTTCCTGGGACAGGCTATTCAAGTGGAATTCTACCTGCTGAAGGTTAATGAACTTGACCTACAATTTTAATTTGAAGTCCAGAATTTGCAAAGCGAGGAGTGAGCTGGGCAGTGATTCACGTTTTCCTCTTTCAGAGGAGGGTGGGAACGCTTTCACCTTGTTTTTGACTGGGAGCGGATTACAGAAAAATCTCAAAAATGCCTGACCTCCCTGTTCAACCCCTGACATATTATTTGTCTTAGTGGATGATGAGATGAGAATGAGAAAGAAGTCAAGTATCTGAGGGTAATGAAACTAGGTCCCATGGTGTCTGAGCTGATCAACATCATTGATTCTCTCCCACTAGTGTGACCGTGTCACGTATTTTCTAAACCAAGGCAACTTTGAGAATAAAAAGAGGTAATAAAATTGATTGGAATTACATAAGTTTTTAAAAGAATTTATTTTTAGAGAGAGAAGGAGGAAGAGGGAGAGAGAGAGAAAAAACACATTGATATAAGAGTGAAACATTGATGGGCTGCCTCCTGCATCCCCCCTACTGGGGGTCAGGCCTGCAACCCAGGCCTGTGCCCTGACTAAGAATTGGGCCAGCAACCTTACAGCCCACAGGATGATGCCCAACTAACTGAGCCACACTGGCCAGGGTGAGTCACAACATTTTAAAATAATATTTGAAATATGTATAGGTCAGGGAAAACTGTTTTTGTACTATAATAGATCACAAATAGTTCTATTAGAGATTATTCTTAACGAAAAAAAAATTAAAGTACTACATGTACATTATGTCAAAAATTTAAAAATTATTCTTTGTATATGTTTATGTTAATTAGTTTCTTAACCATGCTTGTCTCTAATACCAGGTGGCTGGCATTTTTTCTGAGTATTTTTCTGGTATTATCAGTCTTTTATTTTTCCAATGAGATCTTATATTTACTTTTTCATAAAATTGCCTGCAGTCATCTACAAAGTTGTCCTTATGGTAAGTATATTTGGGATTTTCATCAGCTTCAATTGGCACTTCTCTGTAGACCATTCTATTTTTAATTAAGAAAACACTCTTGCCTGGCCAGTGTAGCTCAGTGGTTGAGCATCCACCTATGAACCAGGAGGTCACGGTTTGATTCCTGGTCAGGGCATATGACCGGGTTGTGAGCTCGGTCCCCAGTGGGGCGCGTGCAAGAGGCAGCTGATCAATGTTTCTCTCTCATCATTGATATTTCTACCAATCTCTGCCTCTCCTTTTCTGAAATCAATAAAAAAAATTTTTAAAAAAGGAAAATACTCTTTCTGTAGAAGCTTGGTTACCTAGTAAGCCTGAGAAAATTTATTTCAATGGAGGGTAGTTTCAAGTTGAATTTTAATCTTATTGAAAAATTACCTTAAATACTGACTTTAGTATCTTTTTAGAGTCCCTTCTTCAAGAGAATTTTATAAGATAAAACATGTAAAATAAGTTATTTTTCTTTATCATTATTTTAAATGTTTCATTAAATTTCCAAGCTATAAAATGTAGTTCTTTTCTTTTTCATTATATTTAGAAACAGAATATAAATTTATCCAATTTAATAAAGACTCTTTTAGTAAATCAAGATATTCCATACTTGGGGCTAATTTTTTCAAGACTAGTGACTCATATTTTTATAAGATTACTTGGTCACATAGTCATAAATTCAATTTAGAGTTAGGATTACCTATCCACTTTCTGTATGTGTGTATGTATGTGTACTTGTCCAGCTTTATGCATATGTTTGTCTCTCAGAATATATATTAAAAATACACAGTACAAACAGGCCAACAGTAGAAAATAGATCTTCCTCCCATCTATCTTCCAGTCTATGAGTCTCCTAAGTAGAGACAATAATTACCAACTTCTTGAGCCTTCTTCCAGAAATATGTTCTCTGTATTCAAGCATGTCCTTATCCAGTTATTACCTATGTATCTATCTATTTATCATCTCTGTATATACCCACCTATGTACTTTTTTATTATTAACATAAATGGTGCCGTTCTATCAATATTTTGAACCCTCTACTTTTGTTTAATAATAGTGCCTAGTGTACCATATCAGAACAAGTATTTGTGAAACTATTTAGTAAATCAAAGAGAAAGAATATTCTGTAGAGAAATTTATCTGTATTTTCTAAGACTTGTAGATGCAAATACTAACTTAAATGTGGTTGTTTCTGGGGACAAAAGACATACCAGATGTTTGGAATAAAGGACAGATATCTAGGAATTGTTATTTTATGCTAAACGTTTAAAATCATAGTGTTTTTATAAACCTATCATGTTTAGTGTTTGCAACCTATAGATTCCTGCTCTCTCAAGAATGGTTACATTTCCCATTGCAAAGTAATAACCCTTTCGTGAAGCATCTCAAGTCTCTTTCAGGTTAGTAAAACAAAACACATCATAGTCGTGTAGTATTTTCACAATATGAATGTAAATGGAATTTATCCCTTTCCTTGGCTCTTGTCCTGTGGGCCAGATAAGATTAAATAGAATTGTGAATTCAGCTTTTGGATTAAAGATTCAAGCCCTTCAATTAGGCTCTTGCCTGTAGCCTGGGGGGTAACATTTTATGTTTACCCATAAAGAAGCCTCTGTGCCTGGGTGAGGCAGAGCAGTTTTCCTCCCATGGAGGGAAGGAGATCAGGGACCTGGACTGGCCACTCAGTTCCCCCAGGTCCGGCTGGGAGAGAGCCAGTTTTAGAAATCATGGGTGAAATTAAAATGGAGAGTGCACTCTGGCCAGATAGCTCAGTTGATTAGACCATCATCCAGATGCGCCAAGGTTGTAGGTTCAGGTTCAGTCCCTGGTCTGGGCACATATAAAATCAACCAATGAATGCATAAACAAATGGGACAACTAATCTCTCTCTCTCTCTCTCTCTCTCTCTCTCTCTCTCTCTCTCTCTCTCTCTCTTTCTCTCTTTCTCTTCCTCTCTCTCCTCTCTCTCTCTCTCTCATCAATAAGTTAAAAAAATACATTTGGAAAAAAATAGAGAGTTTAGAGTTGGGAAGTAGCTATGGCAAGTCTGCCAAGGTATCCAAAAATGGTTTTCAAATGGGTGAAGAGCAGTTCAGACAATGGGAAAAAGAAAGAGCCAGTGTGTCCCAGGACCAGGGAAGGAGAGGAGGAGGCAGTGGGTCTGGGGGTAAACAGAGGTGGAAGCTTTCGCCGTGTGTGGGAGGGACAGCTGGCTCCATTTAAAGAGCTGGAGGGGGTGTGGATATGGCCTTGTCATGAGGTTAGAGAATAAAGAAACTTAAGATGGCAACTAGAATGTTTATAATGAGATACATTTGAGTTTAAAAGCTTATGATTT